AAATGTTCTGTTTTGAGAAAATAGTATTTAAAACATTTGAACTTTTGCTTGAATATCTTATATTTCGAAAAACAGTATAAACTGTACGGTCTAAATTTAGTTTGCACGGTCTAAATTTAGTTTGCACGAAAGTTGTAAACAACACTATATAAGGATAGACATTCCATATTTGGAAAAACGAACGTTACGGGGCAGATATTCAAATTCATTAGTGAACATAATGAATGAATGAACATAATTTTTAATAAGGATACCAACTTCACAAGTAGTGGTTTACAGAGGGGTCCTCCGACAAGTAAACATATACTAAAAATAATTAAATTACAAATGAAAATAACTAGACAGAACAAACAAGTCATTACAATTCAGTTTTTTCGAGGCGGTTCTTAAATGAGGTTATCGAGGTGGAGCTTTTTAAATCATCATCCAAACTATTCCAGACTTCAGAAACAAAGTTTACCGTTGTCCAGTGACCCCACCTCCTCGAAGCCTTGGTTTTCCTGATGTTATTCTTAGATCTAGTATTATATCTATGGAAATCACAATTAAGTTGAAAACTAAATTGGTGCGATAACATATTATTGATGGCCTTATATGCAAATATGGCTCGATGCTCGGCTCTTCTACGTTTTAAGGATTTCCATTTAAGCTTACTGAGAGCATCAGTTGCAGAGAAATATATAGGTTGATCTAAGACTATCTTAGCAGCTTTATTATGTAGAATTTGTAAGTCATTCATCAATGTTTCATTTCCCCTGTCCCCCCAGCAAATGTCCCCATAGTCTATAAGTGGCAATATAAAACTTTTAACAAACGTTATTCTAGCATCTAATGGTAAACAAGACTTGATACGTTTTAATAAACCAAATTTCTTGTTTATCTTGGAACTAATATAGTCCACATGATCTCCCCATGTACAATACCGGTTTACAAGAATGCCAAGGTATAGAAAAGATTGAACATTAGCAAGTGTCGAGTCATTGATTGATATGGTAATTGAATCAATTTTAGAAAGTCGTCGACTGCTCCCAATCAGCATAAACTTAGACTTCTCAACATTCAAAGTTTATATCCAGAAGCCAATTATGGATGCAATTTAAATCGGAATTCATTTTCCTTTGAATTTCATCAGTCGAAGATGATGCAAACGACAGAACGGTATCATCTGCATAAAGAGTTACATCACAAAACTTTAAGCATTTTGGCAAATCGTTCACGTATACGATAAACAAAAGGGGACCTAAGATTGATCCTTGGGCAACACCAATGGAGATAGAGGCAGGATCAGATTTAGCATTATTACAACAGGTCACTTGGGTTCTGTTGGAGAGGAAGGAAGTGAACCACAAACAAGCATTATCGTCGGCACCCAATGCACGTATCTTGCTGATCAGGATGTTATGATTCACAGTGTCAAATGCCTTTTTGAGATCTAAGAAGACTGTTCCAGTTACTTTGCCATTATCCATAGATTGTAAGATTTTGTCAGTAAACATGGCTACTGCTGTAATTGTTGATGATTTTAATCTAAATCCATACTGCTTTGGTGAGATAAGATGGTGGTTATTAAGGAAGTAATTAAATTGGGTATATACCGCTTTTTCCAATATCTTACTCAATACAGGTAGAATGCTTATCGGCCGGTAATTTGTTGGATTTGATTTTGGACCATGTTTGAACACTGGTATCACTTTCGCGTTTTTCCAGGCAGATGGAAATTTTGCCGTAGTTAATGAAATATTAATTATTTTTGTTATGGAGGGAGTTATAACATCAGCAGCATCCTTTACCAAACGAGCATTAATTTTATCTAGGCCACAAGATTTCTTTGCTTTCAACTGGTTGATCGCATTTAAGACAAACTGCTCGGTAACAGACTCAAAACTGAAAGTGAAACCAGAAGGAGTTGGACCATTTCTGGCACTGGATGTAGGATTGAATTTCTCAGCAAGTTTCTCCCCAATGCTAACAAAGAACGAGTTTAAGGCAGATGCAATAGTTATGGCTGATGTAAAACTTACTCCGTCTATTTCAATGTTGCTGATATCAGTCAAATACTTGGACGCCGGCAAGGATTTCTTAAGTTCTCGCCAAAAATCGTTGGGATTCCCTTTGCAGTTCTGAATAAGATTAGTATAATATTCAGATTTAGAATTCTTTATTAACGTATTCACTTTATTTCGTAACTGCTTATAAAGAGCCCATTCATGACTGTTTTTAGACCTTTCCGATTTCTTTAGATGATAGTCGCGTTGTCGCATAAGATCTAAAATTTGTTTGTTCATCCAAGGACTCATGACCCCTCTTAATTTATAGGATTTAATTGGGGCATGTGTATTAACAATATTTAAAAAGAGTTTATTCCAAATTTCAACACAGTCATCTATATTATCAGTGTTGTTGAAAACAGTATGCCATGGCACCAGCTTAAGATCTGTATAATAAACTTGTTTGTCATAGTTTTTAAAGGAACGTGATTCGACTATTTTAGGTTTAGAACGAATTGAACCAGATTTAAACACACAGCACACCAGTGAATGATCACTTAGACTGGGATTCGAGACGCCAATTTCAATTGCTTTGTGTGAAATATTAGTGAATACCAGATCAATTGTAGTTGAGGTATGTTCAGTGATGCGTGTTGGGGTACTAATGACTTGTTTCAATTCATGATTGTTTACTAGCCGGGCTAGTTTACGCTTCATGCCAATATTAGCATTTGTTCTGCCCGGTGTAAAGTCAATGTTGAAGTCACGAAGAATAACTTTATCAAACGAAGAATCAAATTCTGATAAAGAGTTATTGAAACCGTCCAAAAACTCATCAACGGGTTGGCAGGGGGGCCTATAGACACAGCCCACAATAAATGGTTTGCAATTTATCCGGTTGAGCTTAATCCACAAACATTCATTAATACTATCTTGGGTGTTTAAAACAGTGAACGGCAGGTTGTCTCGGCAGTATATCGCTACACCGCCTCCCATTGCGCCTTGCCTATCTCGCCGTACGATAGAGTATCCAGGAATATTTACTTCAGAGTCATCGATATCGTTATTAAGCCATGTTTTTGATAGAGTCAAAATATCAACATTTTTGATAGAGTTCTCCATCAACAGTTTAAGATTGTCTAGCCTCCCGAGTAAGCTTCGAATATTGAGATGTGAAATAACCAGACCCCTTCTCTTAGTATGTAATAAGTAGCATTCCTGGCTTGCTTGATTATGAGATGATGATGGACCAGGTTGGGGACAGATATCTCCACACGAGAGTAATGCAGTTCAAGTTACGTATAAAGTTAGCTTTAGAATATTCAATACTCTGATAGACTTAGGTATTGAAGCCGAACAAGTTGAAGTTGTTTGATGGCGCGAAAGTAAACGACAGTCACCACGTTGCAGATACGATCTTAGATCCAGTTTAGTATAAACCATAACATGAGAAGCACCATTATTAACCAAAATGTTAACTTCATAAGCCCTGAAAGGCAGGGATATAAACAACACAACGACAAAACTACAGAGAGCACGTTTTGCATGACCGACCGCCATTCCGTGAAGGATGTTGTGCAAGGAACAGCAATATGGGAAATACAGTGCGTCCAATTGAATTCAACCTGCTCTAAGTCAACAAGCCACAACCTCTAGTCACGATGAATTTCGGCGACTATTCTCCCTGTACAATAGGGCTAACAATAGCAGCCTCGTTCATCAACCTCCGGCGAAGCGCGGTCGAGGTAATTATTGGGAACAAACGCGTTCTTTTAAACCACAAGATACGTAGACACACAATTTTTCGGTTTGGCACAAGTAGCTCGCTGAATTAACTCGTATTAAAATAATGCACTTTAAGATGTGAAATGTATGAAGTAAATCTTGATGTGAAATTGTGAATACGCTGAATACGATTATTTACAAATACAAACTCTCCACTTCTAAAAACACCAGCAAAAACACTTCTTTAGATCGAGTATGAAACGCTCAGCAAGCGTCTTGTTTACTGTAAATTTATATGTATGATCATATTACATGTATGTAACATTAAAAATTTTGCGGGAAATAAATTATCATTAAATCGAGTTGAAAATTGTGTTCTGAGGGTCACGCATAATGTTACGTCATCACAATGGAATGCTTAAGGACAAAATGAGCAAACAGAAGTGCAAATGCAATTGCGAACATCAAAATTCAATTCTTTAATATCAAAATTCAATTCATTGATATCAAAAAGCACGGAACGAACAACAAAATCTAGAATTCAAATATTAATTTTGGCGGTAATCACCCTCTATAAGGATGAGACCCGTCCAATTGCCCTCACTGCCACTCTGTCAAAGGTTTTGGAAGACTTCGTTGTTACCTGGATGATTGATGATGTCAAAGACGAAATCGATCCAAAGCAATTTGGTAGCTTAAGGGGATCTTCTACAACATTCTCCTTTATTGATATGATTAACAACTGGTTGCAGGCACTGGATAGCCCAAAACGGTATCTACGTATCTGTTTTTTGGATTTCTCCAAAGCTTTTGACAGAATCAACCATAACATTTTGATTGCGAAACTTATAGCCCTTTAGGCCGTTTGTCGTGGCCCAATATCTTTCACTTTCATTTACCGTGCCTCGTAACTCAAATTCTTTTACATAACTTACCACTTTTAAACATGTTGAATCTGAATCCGAAGAGTTCCCGCTCCGTAGACCCGCAGTATTTTTGTAAAATTCATGTTTATTTGCACTCCTTAGACGAAATTCCAACAATCGCCCGCCATTTTGTTTATTATTTCTCGATGCTTCGAATTAAATTGCATCGCTCAAATGTGTGTCTACTCCGTTCCAGTTTATTGAATTTGTGACGCCGCCGCGTTGTCATTTAGAACGATGGCAAGGTATTTTTACGGGGGTTAATAAATTCGAAAAAAAAAATCCAAAATGGAAACTACTTCCAGTGCTGGTAGTGATGATTCTCATCGAGTATGTGTCATTCATTTCGAGGGTAAAGACGGAGAGCTTAGAGCATTAACAAGTGAAACCGTGAATAGAATTTTGGAAAGAAGAAAGGAGTGGTTAAGTCTGCCATCCTCGTATAAAGCCTTTACTGAAGTCGCCAAAAAGTCGTTTGAGTTTATTCATGAAACTGACAATTTAAACCCGAAAAATATTGCGAAAACATATTGCTTTCATCCTGCCTGTTATCGAAGTTTTACAGACAAAAGTAAACTTGATAGAGCCAAAACTACGTTGACTAATGCTGCCGATCGCAAGCGAGTGGCCGACGACAATACTCAGACCAACTGTTCAAGACCAGAAAAAGTGACACGAACTACTCGACAATCTTTTCCTGCTCGATCATCAAATGTTTTGCCCGAGATTTGTCTAATATGTAAACGGCATGGGCCGATCTACATCACAAACAAAGTATATAGAGTTTTGCTTTATCTTTTTATGTGTTTTTGTAATATTAATTTATTTACT